CCACCACAGCCTCGACCTGCTGGGCTCCGGCGATCCTTCCGCCTCAGCCTTCCAAGTAACTGGAACTACAGGTGCGCGCTACCACACCCGGCTAATTTTTGATTTTATGTAGAGATGAGGTCTCACCAAGTTGCCCAGGCGGGTCATGAACCCGCGGGCTCAGGCCATCCACTCACCTTGGTCTCCCAAAATGCTGGGATGACAGGCTGAGCCACTGAGCCCGGCTGGTCATGCATTTTAAAAATATTCAATAGAGATTATCTGGGAGGTGCAACTATGGGCTATTGGAATTTCTTTTTTATAACTTTCTGCATGTGGAATAATAAATAAATGTCATTGGAAAAAACGATTGTGCCCAGAAGGGTGTCACCTCCCAGGCTTCTGTGAAAAATGGTACAAAGTCATGTGATTTCTAGACACGCATCTGCCTTACCTGCTTGTCATCAAAGATGGTCCACCAGAAACTCTGGTAGATTGAAGGAGCCTGGTGACTGTGACTTTGCCAGCATTTAGAAGGTGATGTGTGTTGGGAAGATAATCAAAAATATTCCAGGCCGGGCGCGGTGGCTCAGCCTGTCATCCCAGCACTTTGGGCGACCAAGGCGAGAGTATTGCCTGAGCTTGGGGGTTCGAGACCAGCCTGGGCAACTTGGTGAGACCTTGTCTCTACAATAAATCACAAAAACATAAGCCAGGCATAGTGGCTGGTGTGCGTTTATAGTTCCAGCTACTTGGAAGACTGAGGCGGAAGAATTGCCTAAGCCCAGCAGGTGGAGGCTGCAGTGGCTGTGAGCGTGCCACTGCACTCTAACCTGGGTGACAACAGTGAGACTCCAACTCAAAATGTTTATATATATATACATAAAATTCCAGACAGTGACCATATCTTAATTTTTTAAATTCTTTTCTGGACTATCTGTTCAAAAATATAAAGCATGAAGACAAGTTCTCTACAGATAAAGAAATCTGGAAAGTAGAATAAAGAGATATCTTTCCTGAACCAGACATGCTAGTAAAAAACAGTGCCTTATTGTTTAATCAGTATAAACTGAAGATTGTGGGATTTCTTTCTCTCTCTTTTCTTTTTTTTTTTTTGAGTTGGAGTCTCACTCTGTCGCCCAGACTGGAGTGCAATGGCCACTCCTGGCCACCACAGCCTCGACCTTCTGGGCTCCGGCCAGCGATCCTTCCGCCTCAGCCTTCCAAGTAGCTGGAACTACAGGAGTGTGCTACCACGCCAGCTAATTTTTGATTTATGGTAGAGATGAGGTCTCGCCAAGTTGCCCACGTGGGTCTCGAACCCGCGGGCTCAGGCAATCCACTCATCTCAGCCTCCCAAAGGCGCGGGATTACAGGCTGAGCCACCGAGCCCGGCTGGATTTCTTTCTCTTAAAGATGGCGCTCACATCCCCAAATCTGTTTCTAGTGGTTATGAACATATTAAGTGCCAAGGCAGTACCTGTGAAAGCAGGTGGGACCCGACTTGATACACCTCAGTCATCCATATTAATTCACACAGTGGGTCACAGGAACTGGGTACCCATTTTGTTCTGCAATTAATCATAATTTTCCTGCTTTGTTACATACAGCAGTGACTATATTAACTGCATATTATATTTACAAAGTATATTCATTTTCCATGTAGTCTTTTAATTCCTTTGTACTTCTCCTTTGCCATTATTTTAAATATGCTTTGAGGCCAGACTCGGTGGCTCAGCCTGTAATCCCAGCACTTTGGGAGGCCGAGGCGAGTGGATTGCCTGAGCTCTTGGGTTTGAGACCAGCCCGGGCAACTTGATGAGACCTCGTCTCTACAATAAATCAAAAACTAGCTGGGCGTCGTAGTGCACGCCTATAATTCTGGCTCCTTGGATGGTTGAGGCAGAAGCATCACAGAGCCCAGCAGGTTGATGCTGGGGTGGCCATGAACATGCCATGGCACTCTAGCCTGGGTGATGGAGTGAGACTCCAACTTAAAAAAATAAAAATAAAAATAAATAAATAAATAAGTATGGTTTGAAACGTGATTCTTTTATTAAAAGAACTTTATCTCTCTTTTTTGGGTGTGGGTGGGGTGGCATCACAAAAATGCTTTACCTTTATTAAAAGTTATGAAGAGTTCTACTATTATTTTTTAATATTATGCATTTACTTCTTTAATTTATCCTTTAGAACTAACTCTTGTGCATATCAGAGAGTCTGAATGGCAATTCTAGAATCTGACCACGTGAAGACTTGTAGAAACTCCAAGGCTTAAATTAAATGGATCCTTGTGATGTGTAGAGAAAATATACCCTTTAATTATTTTCTCCAATGAAGAGTCATCAGTAGTGCTTATCTCTTGGTTTATGCCACAATCAGAATAATGATTTGGAGCAGTGCCTGAACTCTAGCACATTTCCACTGAGAAATACAGTCCTTTTTAGAACATTAAAGTTGAAACAGAAAGGATAAACCTGTCACAACAGATCAAAAGATATAAAGGGGTCCTGGGATTGTCATTGTTGACTAGTGTCCTTCCTGACTGTGACTCCAATTGTTCTCTTATGTCTTTGGATAATCTGCTTAAACCTTAGTACTAGACTTTGGATGCTGAAATAGTCTTGAAACTGACTTGCTGTTAAGACTAGAATTATTCATTAATAATGAGGGGACACTTCTCTTGGTTCCTTTTTTTTTTTTTTTTTGACTGGGGTCTCACTCTGTCGCCCAGGCTGGAGTGCAGTGGCATGCTCACAGCCACGGCAGCCTCAAGCTGCTGGGCTCAAGCAGTCCTTGACCTCAGCCTTCCAAGTAGCTGCAACCACAGACATGTACCACCATGCCCGGCTAATTTTTTAAATTATTATCATTAATTGTAGAGACCAGGTCTCACTGTGTTGCTCAGGCTGGTCTCAAGCCCCTGATCTCAAGCAATCCTCTTGCCTCCGCCTCCCAAAGTACTAGGATTACAGGCGTAAGCCCCCGAGCCCAGTAATTTTATTTTATTTTTTACCCATTTGTGGCTTCAATCATATTGAAGTGACCTTTAGAATGTGTCAATACCTTATTCATCAACCTCTGCGAGCTTTCTGTGTCAAGCTGACTGCTACGCATTTTGTGTTTGCTTCAACCAGCCTGTCTCCCCCAACACATTTCTTTTCCTTCACATGACTGTTTGAAGAACTCACCCAATTTTCATGACAGTCAATATGTGATGGTATCAAGGTGCATTTTAAGATGTGTTTGTGGATCATTCATTTGCTTATATAAAATATATTTATTGAGGGGCCCCTATGTATCAGGTACCGTACTTGGCCCAGAGGATGGAATGTTGAACAAGACAGACATGGTCTCTGATGTACATAGTTGATCTTACATTCTAAAAGGGGGAAATGAAAGAAACAAGGAAGGGAGGACGGAAGGAAGGAACTCCATCACATTGGGAGTGGAGTGTGGTTTTCACTCTATTGCAGGAAGAGATGCCTTAGCTTCCTTCAGATTCTCAAGAGGATCTGTGACCAGCAAAAAGGTCAAGAACCATTTTTGGAGGAATTTCTGCTTTGGGTGGGAAGTTGGACAATAAGAGTACTTTCACCTTGGAAACTGTGGGTTTCTTTTACACACACACACACACGGTGCTGGGGTGGGGGAGACTTGCCTCTTGCCCTTAATATGCCCTGACTGCTGACCTGGGCCTTTTTGCAATTGTCCAGCTGCTGTTCCTACGTCGGACGCCGAGGAGGAGGTCCACAGGCCATATCCATCGGGAAGAACTGTGACAAATTTGGCATCGTGGCTCACGAGCTGGGACACGTGGTTGGGTTCTGGCATGAGCACACCCGACCAGACAGAGACCAACATGTCACCATCATCAGAGAGAACATCCAGCCAGGTAAGGAGGCCTGGGTGGAGTATGGAAGCCACTGGCCAGGAGGGCGGCACCCTCGGGGCCAGAAGTGAGGGTGGGAGAGGACTTGCCAGGATCTGAGCAATGCTAACTGTTGACCATGGAGCAGAGACCCTGTAGAGCAGGTGCTTGTCACCAGCATGACTTCCATCCATCGGTGGCTGTCACAGCTTGTAGGTCAGAGCAGAAGCAAAATGATTTTCCACGTCGTAAAGGACAATGAAACTCAGCTCTGTTTCCTAAATGGAACACCATCGACCAGAACAGTGTTGCAGTATCAGAGCTGATAGACCAGAAAACCAGTTCTCCTGGCTGCCTTTCTGAGAGTCATGTTTCCTGACTTAGGCCAACACCTCTTTTTGAAACCGAAATACAATGAGGCCATGAGAACATGTGGAAACACTGTTAATACCTGAAAACGTTCTGCCCCAAGGCAGATCATGTGTCTAGATTTTTAAAAATTACCTTCTGATGTCAAATAAATCATATAATAGAATTTCATCTTGAACTTGAAAGTAGTAGCTAAATAATACGGTTGCCTTAAAGATGCTTTCGAATCTGAATTGGCAACTCTTTTGGATTGAATTTTTTTTTTTTTTTTTTGAGTTGGAATCTCACTCTGTCGCCCAGGCTGGAGTGCAGTGCCATGCTCACAGCCACCCCAGCCTCGACCTGCTGGGCTCAGGCAATTCTTTTGCTTCAGCCTTCCAAGTAGCTGGAACTACAGGCACACGCTACACACCTGGCTAATTTTTGATTTATTATAGAGATGAGGTCTCGCCAAGTGCCCGGGCTGGTCTCGAATCCGCGGACTCAGGCAGTCCACTCGCCTCGGCCTCCCAAAGTGCTGGAATGACAGGCTGAGCCACCGAACCTGGCCTGGGATTGAATTTAGCTCTTTGATTTTGTTTTCTTTCTTTTTCTTCCAGTTGCAAGATCTGAGTTGTCGTTCTATTTAATTTTGGGGAAAGCAGTTTAATAACTAATCTGTCTGCAAACCTGGTTTAAGAATTTTGAGTGGTATTCGGGGAGGGGTCTTGGGGTGGTGGGGCTTGGGGAGCACAGGGCTTACTCTAAATTGCACATTTCCAATCTAGTAAAAACAGCGACAAGAACTGCCATGAATCCGGTGATTTGCCTGATTGGGCTCAGAGAGCCCTGGGAAGTTGCCAGGGGCCCTCCTGTTCCCTCCTCTGCTTCCTTTCAGGTGCCCAGCTCAGTTTTCAAAGGCCTTAACAGAGTGTTGTGTCACAGGTCAGGAGTATAATTTCTTAAAAATGGAAGCTGGGGAAGTGAGCTCTCTGGGAGAGACGTACGACTTTGACAGCATCATGCATTACGCCCGGAACACCTTCTCAAGGTTGGAACCCATGCTTACGCCTCGTCTGTGTTTTACTGTGCCTGCCGCAGCCAGGGGTTGGATTCCTGGAGGTCTGCCGAGAGCGGGTCCCTGCATGCCCCTAGCACGACTGGCCTGTCTGTCCTTGAAACACGGCGGCCTCTGGGCCACAGTGAAATATAATCTAATCAGGTTCCTGCTAATAAGGTTGAATCCCATTGTGAAGCTGGCATTCCATCACGCCGTAATGTCACAGGCAGCAAACTGGAAAGGGGAAATTGTCGAGAGGTTGGCTGGCAGAATAACTTAGAGACTCTGTGTAAGATTTCCGGTGGGTGGGGAGATCTTCTAAAACATGCCCTTGTAGAAGCATGGTGATGCTCGCTGGATCCCCTAGAAGAGATTTGCTTGATTGGAAGCCAGGCCGAGTCAGGGCTGGGGGGGCTGTCAATCATGGATTCATTTCAGAGGTTAAGACAGTAAGCTCCAGTCGGCTCTCAGGGGCACAGGTAGCTGGGAATGGCGTGAGAGGAAGGATCAGGTTCCCGCCTGCGGGTCACTGATGATAGATGCTGGTGTCCCCGAATAGGGCTGGACTAGTTATTTATGAGCAGGACAGATGTGATCTCATTGACCACCAGGGTCTGCTGGAATGAGCTGTTCTGATGTGCCGTGCTGAGCGGATGTTATGGATTTTCTTTTTTTTGAGTTGGAGTCTCCCTCTGTCGCCCAGACTAGAGTGCAGTGGCCACTCCCGGCCACCGCAGCCTCGACCTGCTGGGCTCTGGCGATTCTTCCGCCTCAGCCCTCCAAGTAGCCGGAACTACAGGCGCGCGCTATCACGCCCGGCTAATTTTTTGATTTATTGTAGAGACAAGGTCTCGCCAAGTTGCCCAGGCGGGTCTCGAACCCGCGGGCTCAGGCCGTCCACTCACCTCGGCCTCCCAAAGTGCTGGGATGACAGGCTGAGCCACCGAGCCTGGCCATTGCTGCAATTTCTTAAGTGCTCATGGATGAGGGGCTGACAGATAGGCTGTCACTCACTGCCATACAGAAAATGGGAAGCCATCAGGGCTTCCTCGTCTAGGTTGGGAGACTGAGACTTTGCGGAATTCCCCCTGGGACTGTGTCGGGAATCTCAGGAAGCCAATGGAGCGACGAGGGCGAGAGCCCACCCTGCACGTGCCAGAGGGGGCCACTTGGGCATTATGGAGGACTGACTCACCCATTAGGGAAACAGTGCAGGAAACACCCCAGGCCCACCCCACCAGAGATGAAGTATTGATTTTTGTCAGGGAGCCAGCGACCAGTGGGCCCAGGTGAGAAGCTTGTACTTCAGGTCTTTTAGTCTGTAGCTGTGATACTCTTCAAAGTGCTTTATAATTTATCAGTGATGTATTGCTTAATGTATTCATTTGTTTGCTTTTGAGTCAGAATTTCACCTTTCGCCCAGACTGGAGTGCAGTGGCAATCCTTCTGCCTCAGCCCGGCTAATTTTTTGATTTGTTGTAGAGATGAGGTCTCACCAAGTTTCCCAGGCTGGTCTCAAACCTGTGGGCTCAGGCAATCCTTTTGCCTCCACCTCTCAGAGTTCTGGGATTACAGGTGTGAGCCACCACGCCCTGCTGAATTACTGTTAATTCATCTATTAATGCCTATCTGTTGTGTTCCCCTCTACCTCCATAGACTGAGGTCCCTGAGGATGGAAATGTCTCACTCTTTTCTGGTTCCTGGCACCCAATGTGGCACCTGGCGCATAGTAGTATCCTGTAGGTACTTGCTAAATGCATATGTGAATGAATGAGCTCAAGAGCGCCAGGAAACCCGCAGTGCTGGGGAATAGGTGATGGGAGAAACCTTCTCTGTGCTCATTGCAATTCTTTCCACATACTCACAAGTGCGGTGCTCACTCCGTCCAGGGGAATCTGGGAGTTTCTCCCACGCAGGACGCTGGGGCTATAGGAACTGCACTGCCTACTCAGGACCAGCTCGGTGCCAGAGGCTGGGGCAGGAATACAGGCAGGGGATTGTGAGTCAGGGTCTCACTCTGTTGCCCAGGCTGGAGCGCAGTGGCACAATCACAGCTCACTGCAGCCTCGACCTCCTAGGTTCAGGTGATCCTCCCACTTCCACCTCTGCCTCCTGAGTACCTGAGCCGACAGGCGCATGCCACCCCACATGACTGATTTTTTTATTTTTTATTTTGTAGAGACAAGGTCTTGCTATATTGTCCAGGCTGGTCCCAAACTCCTGGGCTCAAGTAATCTTCCCACCTTGGCCTCTCAAAGTGCTGGGATTGTAGGCATAAGCCATCACACCCAGCCAGTCTGGCACCAGCAGTCCTTGTCTTTCTTTAAAAAAAAATAATTATTCCCCCCCGTCACGTGATCTCTAGCTCATAATCCCATGTGTTTTGCCCCTCCAGAAATAACCAATACTATTGCTGTCGTCATTGGGAACTTTTCATCAACACAGATCAGTGGAAGTCTGTGAGCCAAGATCAGGAGATAATAATCCCTCATTAAAAGTCCCCAGAATTGGTCAGTCTCAGTGGCTCAGCCTGCAATCCCAGCACTTTAGGAGGCTGAGACAAGTGGATTGTCTGAGTCTGCAGGTTCGAGACCAGCCCGGGAAACTTGACCAGACCTCATCTCTACAATAAATTTTAAAAAATTAGCTGGGTGTGGTAGCACACCCCTGTAGTTCCAGCTACTTAGAAGGCTGAGGCGGAAAGATCGCTGGAGCCCGGCAGGTCGACACTGGGGTGGCCATGAGCTGGCCAGTGCACTCCAGCCTGGGCGACAGAGTGAGACTCCAACTCAAAAAAAAAAAGTCCCTAGAATCCCTAGGAAGGACATGGGCAGGGGCAGTACATGGGGGCGGGTGTGCCACTGGGAGCAGCACCCCAGAGGCAGATGTCCGCCCAGCAGCTGCCACACGGGACATTTGCTCATTCGGGGACACACCTCCACCCTGCTGATGGGAAGCCCGGCCTCCGTGTCTTTACGACTGAGCTGCCTCCTTCCAGCTTTACTCCCTCTGGGTCCCTGCAGCTCCTGTCCCCTCCCCTGTGGTTGGGCCAGGCTGTGAGAATGGTGTCTTTAGAGGCCAGGGTCAGGAGATGAGGGGACAGCTCTGTGGTACAGAGCCCGCTTTGTCTAAGCCCTCGGAGCTGACAGTTTTGTTCCCTGAGGCATCTACTGGACTCCGTCTTAGCTTAGCTGAGTGTCAGTGCTAAGAGTTGTTCTACGTGAAAGCGGGACGGGACGTCACGGTTGTGGCTTACACAGGGGATGGCTCTTGTGGTAGACATCTTCCCTAGCTGGACATCCTTGTTGGCAGCTTGGGATGTGCCGGGGATGGCGTCCAGCACCTAAGAGCTGTCTGAGCGGAAGCCAGTATTGTTCCTACAGTTTTGGTGTTTGATGTCTCCAGTGTCCTTGGCTCTACTGTTAATTGGGTGGTGGGAGACACTGGCTAGAAGGAGAGGGATGCCCAGAGGTGGCCTCAGGCCTGCCTCTCTGTCGCTAGCTCTGAACCCTGGGCAGGTCACTCAGGCTCTCAGACTTAGTGTCCTCTCCTGTAGGAGAGGAGCCCTAGTGATAACGGCCATCCTCCTAGGGTGTTATGAAGATGAAGTTAGGTGGTGCGCCAGTCCCTGGCACGCAGGAACGTCCTATGGATGATGCGTGAGCAGAAGAACATGTCTTCCAGGGGCAAAGTGACCCACATGGTGTGGCCACTGGTGGGTGCAGTTAGAGGTTGGCCAGATGTGGTAGCTCATGCCTGTAATCCCAACACTCTGGGAGGCTGACGCAAGAGGGTTGCTCGAGTCCAGGAGTTCAAGACCAGCCTAGGCAACATAGAGAGACCCTGTCTCTACAAAAAATAAAAAATAAGCTGGACTCGGTGGCTAGTCTGTAATCCTGTGCCTTTGGGAGGCTGAGGTGAGTGGATTGCCTGAGCACGCGGGTTCGAGACCTGCCTGGGCAACTTGGCGGGACCTCATTTTTACAATAAATCAAAAATGAGCTGGGCGTGGTAGCACGCGCCTGTAGTTCCAGTTACTTGGAAGGCTGAGGCGGAAGGATCGCCGGAGCCCAGCAGCTTGAGGCTGCGGTGGCCGGGAACGGCCACTCCACTCCAGTCTGGGCGACAGAGTGAGACTCCAACTCAAAAAAAAAAAAAAAAAATAGCCTAGCATGGCGGCACGTGCCTATAGTCCCAGCTGCTCAGAAGGCTGAGGTGATAGGATCACCTGAGCCCGGGAAGTCGAGGCTGTAGTGAGTTGAGATCTTGTTACTGCACTGCAGCCTGGGCAACAGAGTGAGACCTCAACTCAAAAAAAAAAAAAAAAAAAAGAGAGAGAGAGAGAGAGAGAGAGAGAGATTGGGGTGATTCTTATGTTTGTGCTGCAAAATTTCTTCGAGGAACAGAGAAAATAATGACAGATGGACACACCTTTTATTGTTTTTGTTTTTTGAGTAGGAGTCTCACTCCGTCACCCAGGCTGGAGTGCAGTGGCACACTCACGGCCACCTCAGTGTCGACCTGCTGGGCTCCGGAGATCCTTCCGCCTCAGCCTTCCAAGTAGCCGGAACTACAGGCACGTGCTACCATGCCCGACTAATTTATTTATTTATTGTAGAGACGAGGTCTCAGCAAATTGCCCGGGCTGGTCTCAAATACGTGGGCTCAGGCAATCCACTTGCCTCAAAGTGCTGGGATGACAGGCTGAGCCACCGAGCCCAGCCTGGATATACCTTTCAGAGGGCAGAAGTGCCTGTTTATAAAGTCTAGAATGTAGAGTCATCACTCGTGGTTTAAAGCTGGTCAAGTCAGTGTGGGAGACCAGGGATGCCACTAAAGTGCCTCTAGTGGACTGGCTCCAGAGATGGGGCGATGGAGCTCGAGGAAGACGGGCCGGAGGGTTAACTGTTGGGTTTGGGGGTTCTGGAAAGAAGTTGGCAGATGATCTAGCCTCCCATGTGCTGTGGTTAGCACATGAGCCTGAAGTCTGTCTGATCTGGGGAAAAAAAAAAGTGTACACAAAACAGTAAGATCACAGAGTGATGTCATCAGGAAGAAATAGGGGGATATGCGTTTTCCAAGGTGCAGAATGGGGGAAGACAGAGGGCTTGAGAAAGAGAGAAAGAGAAAACAAGGGACCGGCATCGCAGATAGCTGGGTGGTGTGTGCCTGTCTGCACGTTTCCTTTGGATGTAAATAACAATTTTGCAAAGTTCTTGAAGACAGGGCTTTATCCCGGCTGGCTGCATAATTTAATTCAAGGAGCATTTCTTGAGGCCTGCTGTGCCCCCTAAGGGCAGAGATAAAGGACCCAGTCTGTCTGCTTGAGGAACTTACTTTCAGCAAAGAAAACAAATGCCACACTCCATAAAAAAGACAATACAGCATGATAAGAGATGAGGCAGATGAGGAAGGCACAGAACAGGGAGTGCCTGACTCCAGATGAAAGGGTTCTGAAGGGCTTGGGAAAGACTTGTAAGAGGGAAAGATGTCTGATGGGGTTTTGGAGAATGAATAGGAGTTTGCGGGTAGACAAGAAGGTAGGAGAGGATAGCACAAGCAGTGGTGTGTTTATGGCCTGGAGGGAGCTTGACGTTGCTTAAATAACAAATAGGTGGAGGTGTCAGGAGATGCAGATGGAGAGGAAGGCAAAAGTCAGCAAGCGGATGGTGATTGGAGATTGGTGGATGGGTTCTCAGCGATGACTGCAGGCCTACCTTTGCGTTTCGGGGTGATCCCACTGCAGCGTCGTGGGGGTGGAGAAGTGGCTGAGTCTGCAGAAAGGGAGGCCAGTGAAGAAGCAACTTGAAACAACTCAGGAAGCGGGGCTGGTCTCCTGAGCCGCGGCGGCAGCCTGGGAACAAGGAGGAGGGAATGAATTCAAGGAGTGCCTAGAGGTAGTGGCACATGGGACCCCTTTCCAGAAGCGTGTGTGAGGGAGAGGGAGGAACTGAGGGTGCCGCTGATCCAGGCTAGGAGACAAGGGCTGCGGGATGAGCTGGAGATGGATGGAGTTGGGGTAAATTCAGTTTTGAGCGTGTCAGATGTCCGAGGCCCAGAGGACAGCCCCACGGAGGGGTCGCCAGGCATCTGGGGCTTAGTGATGGATCTGGGCTCGAAGCAGAATTCGCCTCAAGCCTGTGGGTGGTGGTTAACCCGTAGAGCAGGTGGCCCTCGGAGAGGGAGGAGAACGGGGGGAAAGGACAGAAACCCGAGCGGCATCATTCAGGAGGGAGCAGAAGTGGCTCCGGTCTCTCTGCTCCAGAGGGCCGTGCCCTGGAACCCGGGTGAAGGGAGGGGTGGGAAAGCCCCCAGGGCTGGAGAGAGGGCAGCTAAGACTCAAGTGTCCACGGCTGGGTGAGTGGTGGTTGTCGCCGATGCCGTGAGATCGCAGTCGGATGGAGGAGGGAATGAGAGGTGGGCAGTCGGGGATGGAGACGGTACTTTCTAGAAACCTGGGTAAGGAGGGAAGGAAAGGAGCAGGGTGGTGGTGGAGGAGGAAAGGCCTAACCTCGAGGGGAGGCCCCACCTCGGGGGTCTCGGGGAGGAGGCTCGGGCCTGGCAGCAGGCCAGACGGCAGGCGGGGCCGCAGCGGGGCCAGCGCTCAGCTGGGCGTCTGTTTCTACTTGTCTGTTTTAGAAATGAAGCTGTCATTTTAGATTTCGGCTGTGTAGGGATAGAATACGATGTTAGAGACAGAAGGACCGCCATGGCCATCTAGGTGGGTCTACTGTTCAGATGGGTAAACTGAGGCTAAGACAGGCTCAGAGAGAGGAAGGGACCGTCCAGGCTCTCCCAGGTGGCAGAGCCAGCAACTGCCTCTTGTCCTCTGCACTTACCTCATCGACATCTGATTGTTCCTGCCAGCAAGGTACCCCCAAACTCTCATCACCGGCTTGTCATCGGCATTTGCCAGCCAGCCGCTGAGAGTCTCCCATTATACTGGTGCCCGGGGTCTCCCTGGAGTGGCTCCGAGACCTATCTATGCACAGCACTGCCCAGTGCATAACCCCAGGGGGCACCACTCGCCCTGTGCTCTCTCCGAGGGGTGCTCCCTGCAGTGGTGAAGTGTGGTGGTCCACGCTCCGTCGGGGACTTCGTGGCAAGGCCCGGTCACCATCGGTAAGGAGCCCCTCGGCGACTGGACCAGGGCGTATTTTTAAACTTGGCAGGGTCGCCTTTCCGCTGGAAAGCCAGGAGGCAGCTGACCAACTGGAATGTGGAATGCCAGCACGGGCATCAGGCAGCCTCCTTAGTCATGCCAGCCGGGAGAGGAATGTGGATAGGGTTAGGGGTGGGGATGTGAAGATGGGCATCCCACCACAGATGGCCTCGCAGCCTTGACTTTTTTCTCTCCTTCTTTTCTTCCCGTAGAGGAGTTTTCTTAGACACCATCCTCCCCCGTCGAGACGACAACGGCGTCAGGCCAACCATCGGCCAGCGCGTGAGGCTTAGCCAGGGAGACATCGCTCAGGCCCGGAAGCTGTACAAATGCCCAGGTAACTGACGCACGGGGGTTCCCGGCGTCCTCCCGTGATGCACGGTCTTGGGGGGACATCTTGGGGAGCCCGAAGGGACGACCCCTTGGCAGATGTCATTTCTGGCATCCTTCCATGAGGGGGTGCTAGGCAGAGTACGAGAAAGCAAGCGGGAGTGGTAAGAACTGGCAGGTGGTGGAGAGCGAGTCTTAGAGCCCATGGCTAATCCTGCCTGACACTTTGGATTTCTCCATCAAAGCCCGGTGTCCAGAAAGGGAGGAAACCATAGTAGACAGCAGTACACAGGGGTCCAAGGCGGTGTGCCCCTCCCACCCGTAATAGAGCACCTCCCCTTTCTACAGATTCAGGGATGTGAGTTGGGCAAAACAGGAACGAAGGGGAACTTTGCAGGAAGAATGAGAGAGAACGTCTTGGGGAGATGGCGGTGGGGCGGGAGGGGTCAATTTCCTAGACACTGCAAGTCACAGGATATCTCGATGCTATGAATGAGGTCATTTCTCTGGTTCTGTGACTGTCCTGGTCATTCAGCGTTCTTGGCAGCGGCCAGCAATCTGTCACTGAAGACGGGACAGTACAGTAGAGTTGGGGCAAATACCTGTTTGGAAGTGTCCCCTTCCCTTGAATTTGCCCTCTTTGCCTTCTGTGCCTGTGACTTCAACCACATACACACACACACACACACACACACACACACACACACACACACACACACACACATTCACACACATCTGTGGGCTGAGCTCTCCTAGGCTAGTCAAGCCGTTGACGGCCACCTTTTCCCACTGATGGGCCAAATGCCTTTCAGGGGTTTTACGAGGAGAGAAGGAAGCTCCGTTTCCAACAGTCTTTTCCAAACCCCCACAACCAGACACAGAATTTGATCATGGGACAGAATCTTTGACCTGGGAACCTCTTAGAAAATCTGGCCTGTCCTGTGGCCCTACAAAGCAGGACCCAGGGCACGCCAAGGGCGATGTGGGGCTTGCTTCCTGCAGAAACTCTAGGAAATACGTCTGCAGTCATTAGGCATCTGGGGGCGTGTCGGGCCTGAACACAGGACACGCGTATCGCATAGCCGTGCTGAATTTAGAGGGAAACCTTATAGCATTCCCTGGGAAATGCCATCGTATTTATTTAGTTATAGGGTAGACACTGCTTCTTCTCGAAAGGATTCAGGGCAGCTGGTGAGTGCCATGGAGCCACACAGTCATGGATCTGTCCTCACAGAGCACTGACGATTATTCTAAAAGAATTTCCATGGAGCCCTCGGGGGTGGTGACGGCCGGGTGTAATCACCATGATGCCGGGCAGTTGTTCGGTAACGTGATCTTGAAGCCCCAATACCCAGGATTTCCTGAGGCCGATCGTGGGCGCCTCTCTCCAGATGCCTTCCTGCAGCTCCAAAAATTAGGGAGCTTTGCATAGTTTCAAGGGGGAACCGAAGGCTCCGGCCATTCCATATGCGGGTTGAAATGCATCTGGGAAAAAGTGCTCACGGCTGCTTGTTTCCTGTGCTAGGGCTGCCCCTAAGACGAGGGGTGCTCAGAAAAGCAGTGATATTGTCTTTGGGGTCTGTAGGAAAATATGACACCTGTCACTCCCAAGTGTTCATACAGGTATCCTTGCTTTCTGAAGACAAATGAGAGAACATGCTTCTCACATACATAAAGGCAAGGTGCTAGACTACACCAGGCAACCCCCAAGGTTCAAGGGCAGAATAGCTTGTTCTAGAATATTCCAGCTCCCTGGGCCTCTGCATTTTTCTGTTTTCTTGACTACTTGGTAGTTTTTTCAGAGGTGGGTAATTGGAAAAGAAGAGGAAAAAATCAAACTAACAACGAAACCGAGTTTTATTTTATTCTAATTAGAGACAGGGTCTGGCTCTGTCACCCAGGCTGGAGTGCAATGGTGCGATCAGAGCTCATTGCAGGCCAGGTGCGGTGGCTCATACCTGTAATCCCAGCACTTTGGGAGGCAGAGGTGAGAGGACTAACTGAGCCCAGGGGTTCGAGACCAGTCTGGGAAACTTGGCAAGACCTTGTCTCTACAATAAATTAAAAAAAAAAAAGACCCGGCTAGGTGACTCAGCCTGTAATCCCAGCACTTTGGGAGGCCGAGGTGAGCGGATTGCCTGAGCCTGCAGGTTCAAGACCAGCCTGGGCAACTTGGTGAGGCCTCGACTCTACAATAAATAAAAAATTAGCTGGGTGTGGTAGCATGCACCTATAGTTCTGGCTACTTGGAAGACTGAGGTGGAAGAATCTCCGGAGCCCAGCAGGTTGATGCTGGGGTGGCCATGAGTGTGCCACTGCACTCCAGCCTGGGTGACAAGAGTGAGACACCAACTCAAAAAAGAAAAAATTAGCTGGGTGTGGTGGTACACACCTGTAGTCCTCACTACTTGAAAGACTGAAGCAGAAGAATCACCTAAGCCCAGCAAGTGGAGGCTGTGGTGCTGTAAGTGTGCCACTGCACTCCAGCCTGGGTGACAGAGATTCCAACTCAAAATAAGATAAAATAAAGCTCACTGCAATCTCAAACTCCTGGGCTCAAGCAATCCTCCCATCTGAACCTCCTTAGTAGCTGGGACTACAGGAACACGCGACCACACCCAACTATTTAAAAAAATTTTTTGTAGAAATGGGTTCTCACTATGTTGCCCAGGCTGCTCTCCAACTTTCACCCCTACACAATCCTCCTACCACAGCCTCCCAAAGTGTTGAAATTACCGGCATGAGCCATCACACTTAGTCTGAAATGGATTTTATAGCTTTTTTTTGAGTTGGAGTCTCACTCTGTCACCCACACTGGAATGCAGTGGCTGCTCCCGGCCACTGCAGCCTTTACCTGCTGGGCTCCCCCGATCCTTCCGCCTCAGCCTTCCAAGTGGCTGGAACTGCAGGTGTGCACTACCACGCCCAGCTAATTTTTGATTTGTTGTAGAGATGAGGTCTCTTCAAGTTGCCCAGGTGGGTCTCGAACCCGCGGGCTCAGGCAATCCCCTCACCTCAGCCTCCTAAAGCGTGGGATTACAGGCTGAGCCACCGAGCCCGGCTTTTTTTCTCTTTGTTTCACCTTGCATTGTCACATCCTCTCTGCCACAGATATTATTATTAGCAATTATAACAGCATACAGAGCATTCACTGGGTGCTAAGCACTGAGCTGACCCATGTCATTCATGCACATGATTGCACCAACCTTCTAGGTAGGTCCTGCCCATTTCACAGATAAGAACACTGAGGCTCAGCAAAGCTGGGAAACTTGCCCACGGTGGCCACACAGCTGGCCAGAGAGTGGAGATTCATGAGCTCGAGGCCACACTCCATCCTGAGAACCTCAGAAGAAGCCCCCGGGGTTTCTTTTTGGCACCCAGACCTTACTTGTGCTTTTGTTAGCCAGAAAAACGTCCATCTGCCTGGCACAGTTCTCTCCGGCATGTTCCGAGACTTTGGCTGGTGAAGGGGTGTGTTTGCTCGACGGCCCTGGGCGGGAGCTGCGTGGACGAGTGGGTCGTGGTGCATGGGCCATGTCACAGTTGTTGTTCTGCTTGTGCAGCATGCGGGGAAACGCTGCAGGACACCACGGGGAACTTCTCCGCACCTGGCTTCCCAAATGGCTACCCTTCCTATTCACACTGTGTCTGGAGGATCTCGGTCACCCCAGGGGAAAAGGTAGGTGGGACACTCCCCCCGGGAAAGTGGCGTACGCTCCTTGAATCGGGTGAGGCGGGAGGAATTCTTACTGTGAACAGTATGATGACGGCTGTTTGGGTCCAAGCACCCACTCACCCTGTGCCAGGCACGGTGCTGCCTTCAAGTAGCCCTACCCCACACATGATGGCCTGGCACGTACAGAATGTCCACTCTGTTATACATCAAGCTGACGGTGTGTAAAATAAAGCAGGCTCGGCCAGGCTCGGTGGCTCAGCCTGTCATCCCAGCACTTTGAGAGGCTGAGGCGAGAGGATTACCTGAGCCCACGGGTTAGAGACCCACCTGGGCAACTTGGCGAGACCACTTCTCTACAATAAATAAATTTAAAAAAAATTAACTGGGCATGGTAGCGTGCGCCTGTAGTTCCAGCTACTTGGGAGGCTGAGGCGGAAGGATCGCAGGAGCCCAGCAGGTCGAGGCTGCGGTGGCCGGGAGCGTGCACTGCCCTCCAGCGTGGGTGACAGAATGAGACTCCAACTCAAAATAAATAAATAAAAAAAATAAAGTAGGCTGTAGCCCCCCCTGACCTTCATCAATACTCTGTTATCATGTCCTGGAGGATGAGGATCCAATTTAGAATTTCGTGACACCTCAGAGGGCTGCCCTCGGGGGTGGCAGCATGGAACCCACGGCTGGCCTCTCACCCTTCAAGCCCCACTACTCAGGGCTTAGGGAACACCCGTATTGATGTCCCAGCCCACTCTCCCAAGCACCGTCCACTCCTCCCTGGCAAACAGTTACTCCTTGGCTGCTCTCCAGTGGGATGGACTGACCAGGTGTGCTATCCCTGGAGGATGGACTCAGGGAAGAGGCCCTTGCATGCTCTGGGAGTGGGCTCAGAACTATTGGGACAGGGAGTTCCAGGGTCCCTGGAGTGTGACCTGGGGTCTGGATAAGCTCTGGGCGGGCACGTTCCTCTGGCCCTGGGAGATTCTGTGGCCCTCTTGAGCTGAGCCCAGGGCAGGGACCTCTTGTCCCTCAAGGGTGGCATGTTCACAACCCTCCTGCAGGGCGGGTGCTCGCAACCATTATGTAGACGAGGAATTTGAGGCTCAAGCACTAAGGCAATTAATTTTCCACATTCACAATAAGATCTGGGAATTGGCGTTGAGGTGCTGCACCCCAAAGCTTATCTTTCTGCTGTACGTCTCTGCAAAGCCGGGTGTTCTTCAAGTGGTCTCAGACTCGGCACGGCTATCTTTGAGAAGCCCCTTGGGCCTCTTGGGTCTAGGCCAGGGGACCCCGCCTGTGTCCCTAGAGCTCTCTACAGTCACACTTGCCATTGCATGTCTCACCGTACAGTGACTGCTGGTGTACTTGTCCCACTTACAAACCTTAAGCTCATTAAGGACGGGGACTGTTACCCCCAGGGCCACACAGTGAATTTTTGTTGAATGAATATGTGGGTAGAGGAGGGATTGAGTGGAAAACCTACAGAGAGGGGTGGCATGAGGTGTGTGGAGATTTTTCAGGCACCCCTAGTGCATAACTTTTAGAAAACCTCCATCTGAATGTCAAGTTAAGGCCAGGAGCTGTGGCTCACGCCTGTAGTCCCACCACTTGGGAAGACTGAGACGAGAGGATTGCTTGAGCCTAGAGTTTGAGACTAGACTGGGCAATATAGGGAGAATTCGTCTTTATAAACTCAAAATATTAGCTGGGTGTGGTGGTGCACACCTGTAGTCCCAGCTACTCGGGAGGCTGAGGTGGAAGGATCGCCTGGCTCCAGGAGGTTGAGGCTACAGTGAGCCATGATCGTTGCTGCACTGCACTCTAGCCAACTCAAAAAGAGAAGAAAATAAGAAAGAAAAAGAAATGAGTGTCAAATTAAGCGTAGGGAAATGACTAGGAAGCATTAATCCTCGCGCCAACTTCAACAGAGAGGTGCAGTTATGCTCATTTACAGGTGAGGAAATGGACTTGCCCGGGTCCCCTAGGTTTGTTGCAGAGCTGTGATTTGAACCCAGGTGACTGGACTCTGAGAGCCCGAATACTTGACCATCATCTTATGTTATTACACAAAGGGGACAGATGCGTAGAGAGAGATCTGAACGTCTGTTTACACACACACACGTGTGGGCACACCATACACACCCATTCTTGGGCTCGAAGCATTTAAGACGTTAGCTGTGGCTATCACCTTGTGCCTGAGACTCCAGACCTGTCTGCCTTGGGTGGATGTTTCTTGCTGGAGACTCTAACAGGAGGAAGGTAGACAGGAGGAAGAGAGACAGGAAGGGGTTTCTGGTAAGCTCCAAACTGCCCAACGCCCCTGCACAGAGGGGCTGTGTGATATTCCTGAACCCGGGAAGCGTCACCAAGCCTTAATTACTAACGCTAGCCGGGGACAGGGAGAATATGCCTCATTGAAATTCCTGTACCAATTATTTCCATTTCTGCGCCGCCCGACCTTCCCCAGAGCTGCTCGTAATTAGTGAGCTTGATTGATTCGAGTCTCACCTCTCGTTCCTCACCTCTTCCCCTATGGTCTTTATGGTTCACTAACACACTTAAAATAATTAGCCCGGGTAATTATCCCACTCATTCAGACGAGTGTGTTACCAGGGAAGTTGTACTAACATTTCCTTTCTGTGATTTGAAACTGCAAGGGCTAAGGAATTATCGTGCAACCAGCTTTCAAGGATGCCTGAGCCCTAGCACCTGGATGCAAGCATACCGGGGGGGCATGATGGAAGTCTAAGGTGCACCCCTGTCTTTATGAGACTTTGGGTTTGGTGTGGGGACCCCACTCCCTCCCGGGGAACCTGATTCAGTGGAAGGAGGTGCATTTGCTTGGTGTAAGCATTTTTTAAAGCTTCCAAGGTGCTTCCAATGTGCAAGTGAGGTTGAAAATCACTAGTCTAGTTTGAAAGAAGAGCGACATCTCTCTCTTCCTCTCTCTCTCTCTCTCTCTCTCTCTCTTTCTCTCCCTCCCCACAAAAGGAGGTGAGCCAGTCTGTGCCTTTCTGGTACTGACTCTCCCTTTCCCAGGTCATTCCAGGGCTTTGTGAGAAGATGCTCCTAGTCCTTCCAGGGCTTTGTGAGAAGATGCTCCTAGTCCGAAAGTGAGGTGGGAATGGCCCGAGGGAAGGGCTGGGTCCTCAGCACCAGGCAAGACAGGCAGCCTGTGAGGAGCGGTTAGTGCTTGTTGTGGTACGCCAGGTGTACACTTAGGGTGGCCTCATTTTTAAAACCGCCATTGATGGGCCAGGTGCAGTGACTCATACTTGTTATCCCAGCCAGGCACAGTAGCTCATGCCTGTAATCCCCGCACTTTGGGAGGCTGAGGCAGGAGGATTGGTTGAGCTTGCAGGAGTTCGAGACCAGCCTGGGCAACATGGCAAGACTTCGTCTCTACAAAAAATTAAAAAAATAAAAAATTATCCAGGCATGGTGGAGTGCACCTGAAGTCCCAGCACTTTGGGAGGCTGAGATGGAAGGATTGCCTGAGCCCAGGAAGTCGAGGCTGCGGTGAGCCATGATCACACCTTTGCACTCCAGCCTGGGTGACAGAGCAAGACCCTGACTCAGAAAACAAAAACCAACCCCCCCCCGCTATTTACGGAGTATCCATGAGGTTCCAGGCCTAGCAATATATGCCCTTGGCATAGCTTCTCATGCAGTCCCCTCAAGAGCCCAGTGGTGTGCGTATTGCTTTACAGATGAGAAAACTGGGGGTCTGAGAGTCAAGTATTTCCCTGCAACTCCAGAGACAGTAGATGGCGGAGCTGCGAAGCAAATCTGGGTGCAGGCGGATGTCAAGACACCTGCTCTGAGTCTATGAGAGAGTGGAGCATTCCCACTGGGTACCTTGGAGGAGGGGGCGGGGCAGAGTCCTTGAGCTGGGCTGGGGACAGTCTCCCTGACACAGGAACATCAGGCAGCGCTGGCCATCAGGGCACCCGGGATGGGCCCTAGAGGCTCTGCACAGTCAGCAGTCGAACTCACAAGCCGGGCCCGTGGGAGCCACTGGAGTTTCTTGAGCATGGGAGGAGTCTGGGGAGGATGAGATATAAGGGGAGGATTCATCTGGAAGCCCTAGTGTGCGGGGGGTGGGGGGACACAGCAGAGTGGAGTCAAGGAACCGTCTCAGTGAGAGCCATCCAGGCAGGGGTGAGGAAGGGGGAGGGAGCCAGACATCTGAAAGGAGAAAGAGCCGTGGGCATGGGTGCTGAGCAGATACCAGGACCCACAGGAGGGGAGAGAGGAGGTCAGACCAAAGCTTGGCGCCCAGGGCATGGGGCAATGGCATCTCCTGCAGCCAGGGAGGCTGGCAAGGAGAGGCTGTGTTTCGAGGTGCCCTCACATATAGTGGGGAGTAGGGAGGGGAACCCGGGGTGGTGAAAACCAGAAAAGACGGGCTCCAGGCAGAGGGGCAAGGGAGCAGGAGGACCAACAAAACTGCAGCCCCCGAGATGTGGCCCGTGGAAACCTTTGCCCCAGCCCCCCCCAGCCAGAAGATTTACTTGGGGCCTTGGGGCTGGTGGGATATAAAAGAAGTGAGGCCAGGCACGGTGGGTCACACCTGTCATCCCCTCCCTTTGGGACACTGATCACGGAGGTGCTCAAATAAATGAATGAATGAATGAATGAAGGGACCAGTGGAGGGGCAGAGGGTGAAGGTACTGGAGAGAGATGAATTACCAGCAGCAAGTTCTCCCGAGAGGAGAGAGGAAGAGTGTCGGATGCAGGGGCTGGGCGGGGCTGGAGCAGAGGCTTATGGGGCATGGACACTGGAGAGCTCAGGCCAGACAGGCCGCCAGTCCTCAGGGCCCCAGGGGCCCCGGGCACCTTGCCTGGTGGACCTTGGGCGGGGTGAAGGCCCAGGGGGAAACCCAGACTCTGTTCTGGGCCGTGCACCAGGGGAGCCCCGAGCTGGAGGGCTGTGGAGACCAGGGCCAGTGCGTGGGGGCAGCCGCCGTGTGTTCTGAGCCTGCAGGACCACCCAGCCTTCCCCGTCCCCTCCCACCACCCTCTCCCCAGCTAAGCACTCGCCTGTTTGGCCATAGGGGCATCCGCTGGCTGACTCAGGGCAGCCACAGCTGGACCTCGTATCCTTACCTCCCAGCCATCACCCCTCCTCTGCCTCCTCATTCTAAACACGCAGGCAAAGGTTTCTGCTGGGCCTGCAGGACAGGTCTCCAAACTGCTCTGCACCTCTGCACATGTCAGCTCCTCTCACTGCAATCCTCTAGTCTCATTTCCCTGCCCACGTAGGCCCCTTAGGTTCAATGTCACCTCCTCTCAGGACTCTTCTGCAGAACCACTAGGCAGAGTCCATTTCTCCCTTTGCAGGACTGCCCAGACGCTCTGTCTGCACTCCCTTTTCAGTGTTTATATCTCAGTGTGTTTGCTGGCTCTCTGTGTCTTTCCCCCGTTCTCTGAACTCCCTCAAGGACCTGTCTTACGGATCTTTCTGTCTCCATCAACCAACACAGGCTGGCACTTAGTGGGTGTTCAGCAAACAATGGTGAAATGAATGAATGAATGAATGAATGAATGGACTAACTGTAGGAAGGCCAGTCGGCACACCACACTTCAGAAGAGCAAGGTCATGGCCGAGGGGACACTGATCACGGAGGTGCTCAGATGTACTCAGGCTCACCCCGGTCCTCGGGAATGATTGATGGTGTTATAAGATCTTCTCGTATCTCTGAATCTCAGAGACCCCCTCCCTCCTCCCAGCCCCCCGTCTCAGCGCCCCGGGCCGGGCTCTTTAATGCATCTTGCCTTCTGTAAACCATCGAGTGACTTCAAAAGCTCCAGTGATTCCCCAGATGGAACCGAAGGACCCATCTCCTTCTGTTTACTCCCCATCCTGCCGAGGGTTTATTATTTAACGTCACGAGGTTTCCGGCGAGCATGTTTTTGAGACAACACGTCTACTGTGGTCTGAGAGTTCTGTATGTGAAAGGGTAACGTGAGAACACCGGTATGCAAGACGGAGCTCTCTGAACTCATCACGCTTGGCTGCCAAAACTCACTCTCCGGTCATTCTTTCCAGATCGTCCTCAACTTCACGTCCATGGATTTGTTTAAAAGCCGCCTGTGCTGGTACGATTACGTGGAGATACGGGACGGTTATTGGAGAAAGGCCCCCCTGCTGGGTGAGTTGACTTGAGAGAGAGGTGATCGGATGATCTCTGGGATGCTGGTAGTGTTTGGACAGGTCCACCCTGACCGCAGTCATAGGAAGCTCTCCAGGGCCGGTGTCACTGTCAGACACGAACATCCATCTGGCCACACACGCTAAAAGCTTTTAAAACTGCGAATACCCCTTTGACCCAGCCATTAAAAACAAAGCTGGGCGGGGCTCGGTGGCTCAGCCTGTCATCTCAGCACTTTCGGAGGCTGAGGCGAGTGGATTGCCTGAGCCCACAGGTTTGAGACCAGCCAGGGCAACTTGGCAAGACCTTGTCTCTACAATAAATAAAAAAGAATTAGCCGGGCGCGGCAGCACGTGCCTGTAGTTCCAGCTACTTGGAAGACTGAGGGGGAAGAATCGATGGAGCCCAGCAGGTTGATGCTGGGGTGACTGTGAGTGTGCCACTGGACTCAGCTCGGGCGAGGGAGTGAGACTCCAACTTAAAAAAAAAAAAAAAGCAAAGTTGGAGGTGACTACCAATACAGAAAGGTGTTCATGGTACACTGTTTCACACAAAAAAAGTATGTTGCAAGATAGAATATGCAGTAGGATTCCGTTTGGATTAAATATAGATTTGTTTGTATATATATATAATATATATTATGCAGGCATTGCAAGGTGAGATGCCTTCAGGAATAGGCATGAAGGAAGGAGATGGGATTGGTGTAATACAATAAAGACTGATGGGGAGTGTGAGGAACCGAAAACACCAACTATCTTGTCCAAATTCGTTCAAAACAAAGTTACTTAAAACAGTGTGCAGGTTGAATTCAACTAGAAGAAATCATTGAGTTATCTACAACAGAAGTATTGAGTAAACTTGTAAATGTAAATAAGTAACACAGTGATTATTTCCGGATAATAGAGTATTTTTTTAAAGAAATTTCTTCTGTTGTTCTGGGTTCAGCTGTAGTATTTTGTTTATTTATTTATTTCTTAGTTGGAGTCTCATTCCTTCGCCCAGGCTGGAGTGCAGTGGCACACACACTCAAGGCCACCCCAGTGTCGACCTGCTAGGCTCCGGCAATCTTCCGCCTCAGCCTTCCAAGTAGCCAGAACTACAGGCGTGTGCTACCATGCCCAGCTAATTTTTGATTTATTGCAGAGATGAGGTCTTGCCAAGCTGCCCGGGCTGGTCTTGAACCTGCAGGCTCAGGCAATCCACTTGCCTTGGCCTCCCAAAGCGCTGGGATTACAGGCTGAGCCACTGAGCCCGGCCTGTAGTCTTTTTGAATTGGAGTCTTACTGTGTCACCCAGACTGGAGCATAGTGGCTCGTTCACAGCTACTGCAACCTTGACCTCCTGGGCTCAGACAATCCTTCCGCCTCAGCCTCCCAAGTAGCTGAGACTATAGGTGCACGCCACCATACCCGGCTAATATTTTAATTTATTGTACAGACGACAAGGTCTCGCCATGTTGCCCAGGCCGGTCTCAAACTCCTGGGTTCAGGCAATCTTCTTGCCTCAGCCTCCCAAAGTGCTGGGATTACAGGCGTGAGCCACTGTGCCTGGCAGTATTTTTGTTTTTCTTTGACAAGCATGTCTTGGTTTTGTGAGATGAAGGGGGCATGAACTCATTCATGAAAAGTTTGCTTGGAGTTTTGAGTGAGACGCAGTCGACAGGTAGCATTGCAAGAAAGGCCAGTTCACTCCAGATGAGTTACAAGCAGAGATCTCTCATGGATGACAGGGGAGATTCACTTTGTCCAGAGGACCGATGGTTTTGGTGTCTGGGGAACAGACACTGCGACTCATTTTGCCTGGGATGCCAGCTGTAGCGGGCACTAGAGAAAGAAGTAGAAGACAGGGGTCCCCGGCAAGGGTCTCAGCCGAGAGTGGATTGTCCTTCCTCTTAGCTGGGTCTGCAGGGTGGGCTCCCGGCGTGGGCAAGTGTCAGCCCTCAGTGAGGACTTATCCCTGGCACATCTTCGCATGAGCAGAAAAGCCACACTTGTTACACTGCAGATGTCAGACCATCCGTTGACTGAGATGGGGACAGGAGAGAAAGCAGAGGCCGAGGCGGGGGTGTCCTGCTAGACCAAGCCCCGACTTCATGCTGGATTCTGGGGAGCCCAGGACGGGATGGGTCAGAAGAGACTGGGACAGAGGAGCTAGCTGGCCTCGAGGGGCCCTGGCAGACAGTCAGCTTCTGTGTGACTAAGGGGTCCCGGCCGGGAGAGCCACCACTGGCAGTGGCACACAAGCACCCTCGCCCAGACGGCCTTGAGTTCAAAGTCCTGGTGGCAGAAACAGGTAGGCATCTGGGTCTGTGGGAGCTCTAGAGAACTGGGGAGCCTCCAGGGTGGGCCCTGCATGGGGTTACCAGGTCACCACCATTAGAAGGAATCAGGTGGTCAGCAGTCCGGGCAGACAAGCCCCCAGGCCAGGCCGGGACAGGAGCGCGTACACTGCAGGACCAGTGGTTTTTGCCATCTGATATGAGCTGGCAAGGAGTGTGCTAGCAGCCAGAGGGAGGCGTGGCTTTACAGACCACGTGGCTTGGGTGAGGCAAAAAGACTAAGGGCTGGATTTCCAGGAGCAGAGGTTCCCAGACCTGAACACCAGCACCACCTGGGAAGATTTCTATGAGCGCAGATTCCCGGGAGACCCTTGAATCAGAATCCCTGTGAATTGGGTCAGGGGATGACTCCATTCACCTGTAAATATATGTGCACGTGCCCATTTCTAATACCAAATACTTAGAGAAAGGGGACCCCAAGGACATGCATGAAACTATTGAAGGTGATATATTTACTCCTGAGAAAGGAGGCATGGGATGGTAGGCGGCCTCCTGTTCTGTGTTGCAAACTTCTCCATCATTTGAATCTTTTGCGAGAATGCATCCAAGTATCATTGCATAATTTAAATCATAAGCGCGGGTACAGTGGCTCAGACCTGTAATCCCAGCATTTTGGGGAGGCCAAGGTGGGAGGATCACTTGAGCCCAGTAGTTCCAGACCAGCCTGATCAACATAGTGAGATCTTGTCGAAACAAACAAATAAATAAAATTTTTAAAAATCACCAAAGGAGCTATGTGGGAGGAGTTGCATGGAAACATGGAATCACAGACCTCCCTACCCCAACCTGGCAGGGACCTCACAGTCACTTAATCCCACACCGAGCTCCCCAGTGTGGACCAGCTTCCTAAGGCCACACCGCTAGCCAGTGGCTGAGATCAGAACAGAATTTAGATGTCCTGGCCATGGGGGAGAGATGACTGCTGGATCTGAGGCTTTGCCAGATAAAATACATTATTCGCTGTTTATCTGAAATGCAAATGGCCTGGGCTTCCTTGAGCTTTGTTTGCTAGATCTGGCAACCCCATCTCCCCCAGGAATGGGAGAGTTTTAAAGGCTCAGGAGAAGGAAGCTGTCCGTGACTCAAGTTCCCCAAGAGAGGGCCAAGGCACGTTCCCGGGATTGGGAACGGGCAGGGAGATTTGCAGGCCTTCCCTCTTCTTGAACTTGAAACAAGAGCTTTCTCACCGCAGATCCTGGTATCTCTGGCTACACTTCGTTAAGGAGAGAGGACTTCGGGCCGTCAGTGGCGATGGCTTTGTTGTTTTGCTTTGGGCTTTTTTTTGCTCATATTTTAGCCACTTTTACAGTGTGCGTGTGTGTGTGTGTGTGTGTGTGTGTGTGTGTGTGTGTGTGTGGCGTGCCAGCGCCTGTAACCACCATTCTTCATTTGCACTTTCTCCTTTGCCAACTATTTGGCCTGCTCTGATGTTTCCAAATGCAGTTGTTAGTGAACTTTTGTGTTGGGAACAAGTGCATTGTGTCAGCCGAGCTGGTCCCTGGGAGGGGTCAGTGCCATGAAATCTGCTGGGAGGAGGCAGGTCATTGCCCCTTTGGCAGGAGGGAGAGCGGATTAGGGTGGATTGTGAAAGTATGCATCTTGCTCTGAAAACCATGCATCGCGTTTTTTCCCAGGGCAGTGTGTGAAAATCCAGGCATAATGGATGCATAACTTTTTATGAATGAGCCCTTTCTGACTCCCCGCGGAGGCCACTTGTGGCGTCTCCATCTGCATTTCCTCTTCTTGATGTCCTTATTAAACTCGTCCTCGAAAGCCAAGAACCGGATTTCGGTTTAGGAATTCGCCACCTTTTCCCTAGCCCGGGTAACCTCCAGCCTGTCCAGCCTCTCTGGAAGGAAGCCATCGGAGACCCAGGTTTTCACCTAGTGCCGAAAGGGGCATGTGAGTAGATTGGGAGCATGTCGTGACTGATGAGAGATGTTAGATTGGTTTTTCGGTTTTGGGGGCCTCGCATGAGACTGCGCCCCAAGCAAGAGGCAGATGGAACTGGAGACAACTCATCCTGGAATCTTCAACACTGGCTGTAAATTGGGTCCCCCTCACATTTCTGTTAGGGCTCTAACAATGTACTTTTGTATGCAGAACTGTCTTTGGGCATTCGTGTCACCACAATGCACACAAAAGCCCTTTTTCCCCCTTCTCTGAAATGGGGAGGGAAGTTCAGAAAGGCTAGCCTGGCCAACCAGTGTCGCGTGGCCCAGCTATTGGGGCTCCCCGGCCAGGGGCGGCCTCCCAAATGAGCAGAAATGATGGAGCGAGAGTCAAACCGCCAGGCCTGGCCTCTCCCCTCCGACTTGCTTTATGGTCTTATGTCCCAAACTGGGAAACGCTTGTGTTTCCAGAGAACAGAGCTGATGTCTGTTTATCCAAAAATGTGCAATGTTCAGAATTGCACCCCAGACAGAGATGTGCCATAGGTGGTAGTGGTCAAGATGGCGATGCTGACAGAGGTGATATTGGTGATAAAGCTCTCAGATGGCCCAGGTTCAAATCCTGCCTCCACTTATAGCTTGGAGTCTAAAATTCTCTGATTCTCAGTTTTCTCCTCTGTGAAATGGGATTATGAAGAAGTACCTCATTCAGAGAGTAGTGGGTAGAAACTGAGATACTCCATGAGATGTTCAGGACAATGTCTGGCATGGATATAGTCAATAAAACGGGGGGGGGGGGTCTTTTTTTGAGTCAGAATCTCGCTCTGTCTCCCAGACAGTTGCTGGGCTCAGGTGATCCTTCCACCTCAGCCTTCCAAGTAGCTAGCATCACCACACTTGGCTAATTTTTTTATTTATTGTAGAGACAGGGTCTCACCAAGTTACCCAGGCTGGTCTTGAACCCCTGGGCTCAGGCAATCTTGCCTCTGCCTCCCCAAGTGCTGGGATAACAGGCGTGAGCCACTGCGCCCGGCAGAAAAAGGGGGGTTTTTCTTAGAGCCATTATGGCGGAGTTGAGACCACTGAGACATCAGTCAGAGAACAAGGCTCTAGTTAAGAATTACAAAGTGATTTGGGAGTGCTTAGTGATGATTTCTAAGTTACTCCACCAGATCTAGCTCTGCTAAGGCAGTACAATCTCCTCCCCACCCCCATTCTGTCTCCTCAGGGGTCCTGAGGCTGTCCTCTAGCCTGGGGTGGGTGGTTCATGGCTCATCTCATCCGGTTAGGTTCTTAAGCAGTGGAAGTCCCTCTCTCCTTTGGAAACGGTCCCCAGCGGCTGTGACAGCTGGGTTTTAAAAGGAGAAACTTGGACTTGAGACTTGGGCTAGGCTAGGAAGGCATTCCTTTTGTAAATCAGTGTTGCCTAACCACTGTCTCCTCACTGGTAAGCAATACTTTCCCGTGCTTACAAGTCATTTTCCAAAAACGAATTGACACGAATTGGCCATGCCAGAGGAACCATTACAGAAAATTTATAGGCTTCTGGTGGATTTTTCCTGGCCGAATTCTTGGCAGGAGTGCTGTCTCATTTCACTTAATGTTAAGCTCCTCAAATCCAGAAGGCCACAAGTGGCCAGAATTGGAAGGAAGCAGAGATTAGTGGCCTCTACCCCTGCTTCTCCCCAAAGAATGTATGACACAGCTGGCCACTAGGAAGTGTCCACAGCGGCCTCCACTGCCCCCCTACCCTCACCCGCTACCCCAATTTCTCAGAAGCACAAAGCAGAATTCTAGTTCCAAATGGCTTCTCCAAGGACTAACATGGCGCTAGCCAGAAGAGTACCCACAGAATATCTGTGAAGTGAACTTTAAAAAAAAAAATATGGACATATAAGTCTGGGTGTGGTGACTCATGCCTGTAATCCCACCACTTTGGGAGGCTGAGGCGGGAAGATTGCTTGAGCCCAGCAGTTCAAGACCAACCTGGGCAACATAGCAAGACCTCATCTATACAAAAATGCAAATAAAAAAAATTCGCCTGGTGTGGTGGTGCCTGCCCACAAGCCCGGCCAAGGCGGGAAGATTGCCTGAGCCCAGGAGGTTGAGGCTGTGGTGAGCCATGTTCGTGCCACTGCACTCCAGCCTGGGTGACAGAGTGAGACCCTGACTCAAAAATAAATACATATGGAGCTATAATTCACATACGGTGCAGTTCACCGTGTAGAGCGTGGCGGCTTCTGGTTTTAGCATGCTCATAGGGATATGCAGCCATCGTCACGGTCAAGGTTAGAATGCTTTCATCCGCCGGACTTGGTGGCTCGGCCTGTAATCCCATGCTTTGGGAGTCTGAGGTGAGTGGATTGCCTGAGCCCACGGGTTCAAGACCCGCCTGGGCAACTTGGCGAGACCTCATCTCTACAATAAATCAAAAAATGAGCCGGGTGTGGTAGTGCGTGCCTGTAGTTCCAGCTCCTTGGATGGCTGAGGCGGAAGGATCGCCGGAGCCCAGCAGGTCGAGGCT